TCTGTGGAATGACAACTCGATTTTGCCTAAAGAGAATTCCGTCAAGAAGGGTGTAGGGTGTGTCTTCGTTTCTTGTTTGTAGAGTTTTCATAAGAGATTTGAGATGAGAATCGTTTAATGTTGAACTTGCAATGGTCTGATTCGTGATAGTAGTTTAAAAAGATTGGAAAAGTGACTCAGCATACAGACAGTGAACTTCTTATCAGTTGATCTTGAGTCTTGAGACAAAGGTGCTCGAGATAAACAATCAGCATTTTCATTTTCATCTCCTGATTTGTTTTTAAATTTATAATTGAATCCAGATAGAAATGAAGCATATCGAAGTAATCGAGCTGTTGTCATTTTCGGCAAAGAGTGGTCATGGCTAAAGATTCTGCCCAAAGGCTTATTATCTGTTTCAAGAGTGAACTGGCATCCATACAAGTAGTTGTGAAACTAAGTGCCTCTCGATCTAGTTGATTATAATTTTGTTCTGCAGATGTTAGTGATCTGGATGTGTAAGCGATAGGGCGTTCATGACCATTTATGATGTGGCTAAGTATTCCCGCAATGACAATAGGGCTTGCATCGCAAGAAAGTACAACTGACAATTTTGGATCATAAGGAATCAGGACTCTGTCACTGCAAATCTCTTGCTTGAGCTTTTGGAAGGATGATTCACAATCGGTCGTCCATTGAAAACTGTGTTTCTTCTTGAGCAACTCCCTTAAGGGACAGGACAACGTAGATAGATTTGGAATGAAACGTGAGTAATAAGTAATCATTCCAAGAAATCTTCTGACCTCATCAGCGTCGTGTGGTCTTGGCATTTCCATCACTGCCTTTATCTTCTCGGGAGATTTGCTGATTTTATTTTGCTCAATCAGGCGTCTTAAGTATTCGATCTTTGTTTAAAAAAAGAAATATGTACTAAAATATGTACATTTCTTTCGATTTAGATGTAGGTCGTATTCTGTTAGTCTTCTTAGACACATTTGGAGGTTGTGAGCACATTCTGCTTGGGTTGCTCAATGGACGACTATGTCATCGAAATAAGCTTCACGCTTATTAAGTCCATTGAGGATTTGGGATAAAATTTTGTTGAATTCTGAGGGAGCGGTTATTATGTCAAAACTTAGACGGTTCATGAGAAAGGTTCCCTTAAGTGTTGACATAGTTTGGATTTCACTACTTTCTTTGTCTACTGCTAAATGTAAGTACGCTTTATAAAGGTCCAGTTTGCAAACATATTTGGAATTTCGGAGTCTGTTAAGAACATCTTCAACCGTCCTTATAGGAACATTAGCCGAGACTAACCTCTCGTTTACACCGCACTTGTAATCCACACAAAGTCGTAGTCCGCCATCTGGTTTGGGAACGAGGACAAGAGGTGATCCCCAGTCACTTGTCGCAATCGGAGTGATGATTCCTTCTTTTTCCTAAGGTTCCAACTCCTTTTCAACACGTTCTCTAAGTGCATATGGAACATCACGTTCTTTTGTAAATATCAGTTTTGCGTCATCTCTTAAAGTTAATAAAACTTGAATGTTTGGAATGCAGCCAATTTTTTTCCAAAAAAATTTAAGCAAGCTCATTCAGAATGTTTTTAATATCTTGAAAGTTCTTTCAGTCACCATCAACCAAATGGACTTTTGGATAAGTTTTCATGTCATGATCGATTTGTTTTAGTTCAATGTCAAAAGCACGGTTCAAATCTCTACCTAAAATAGGATCGTGGCCTGATGAAACAACTTACGCTTCTGCTTACAATGCTTCTGATCTTTATATTGTAATGGAACTTTTGCTTTTCCTTTCCATGGCACAATATCATTGGAATAAGCTCTAAATTTTTGATTTGAAGGTTGAAGATCCATTCTTTAATTCAATGCTAAGAACTTATGCTCTGGTAAAATTGTGTACTATGCGCAAGAATCTACTTCCATCTTCAGTTTCTTGTGGTTTATTGCTACCTCTACCATGTACTTTCCATGTCCAGGTTCAATTTCGTAGAGGTTGATTATTTACTGATCTTTGGATACTGAACTGATTATGTTGCATGCACCGTAGTAACAATCAGATTGTAAGTCACTGAACATATCATTGTCAGAGAATCGGCTAACTTGTTCCTAGAAGCATATTTCTTGGTCAGGGTACTGATGCAAACTTTTTGAATGTGACCATTCCTTACATGCTTCACAGTATATTTTTTCACACCTTATTCGACACTGGTTTGATCGGTGGTTACTGGTTAGATGTTCCACATCTGAAGCAAAGATTGTTGATTCCTAAGGACTCATAATCGATTCTTTGGCTTGATCGATGGTTGTATGATGGTTTTCTCAGAGAGATGATGTTGATGATGATGTCTGAGTGGATGGATGGTCGTGTCTAGTGGTCTTCTGAATTTTAATTATTCCTGGCACTGAAGAACTAAGGGTCAGAGGTTTTGAAATATTTGAAAGTTCCTTGCACTGGATTTGTGTTGCTTCAAGAGCCATAGCTCTCCTGACTATTTTATCAAAGTTCTCTTCCTTTCCTTGTAAAAGTTGTTCTCGAAAACTATTATCATGAATGCCCCTAATGAATTGAGCCCTTGAGAAAAAGTGAGCTGTTGAAATATTTTCTCTGCATTCACATTTTATGTAAAATTCACAGTTAGCAAGTCGTTTTTGTAAACTTGAAACATAGTCCAGTATGTTTTCACTTTTTGATTGGTAAGTGGAGAAAAAGTAATGCTTCGACACTAAAGTATTCTTTTTAGGCGATAGCATTTCACCAAAGGCTTCAACTAGCCGTTCATACTAAAAGTCTTTGATTTTCTTTGTAGGTCCTTTGAATGCAACCTCAAAACGCGCGCGCTAGAGAGTTCAATAAACCGCCAGACATCCCAGTGCTTAGGGATTGGCAAAAGCCGGTTCCTAATGCTAGGAACAATGATAAAGTTCCCACTTGCTGAAACTGCCGTGAAAACCGGTCCGTGAAATCATTGGAACTGCCGGTTCAATGATTGTGCAAAGCCCAAAGTAGTTAAAGGTTTTTATTGTCAGAAGGAGGGAATGTGAACATTGTATTGCCCATGTAGGCAGGGAAACGGCGGGAGAGTCCCAGCAACGAGTGGACCACTGGGGCCCACTTCTTCCAACAATCACCAGTCAAAGTAGAAATACCGAAGCCAATGATCGAACTGACGGGGAGCGGTGGATATTCGAGCACGCAAGACGATAGACCCTTTGTAAATATCAGAATCCTGGAAGATATTCAACTGAGCGTTCAAGAATTTTTTTCACAGAACAGGCCAAATCTTTTTAAAAATAATTTACCTGGTATTGGGTGGTACCAGGCATTCCTACGTCGACAACCTAAAATTACTCAACGCACTGCAGAAGCAGTCACTGCGGCAAGTTCATGTGTCAGCAAAGCTAACATTAAGAATTGATTCAGCAATATTTAGAGTGTTCTTCAGGAAGAAAAAGTGTTGGACATATTGGAAAACCCAGACAGAATATTCAATGGGTATGATACCAATTTTCAGTTGTGTCCTAAAAATTCTAAGCTATTAGCTGGTTGGGAAGTGACTGTGTGGGGGTGACTGTGACGAGGGGTGCTATGAGCACAACTTCGTGGTCCGATCAGCCATCGATGACGCCAGAAGGGGAGGGAAAAGAGTCGTGCTTGCATGGCTTGACCTCTCCAATGCCTTTGGGTCTGTGCCGCACAGCTACCTCTTGCATGCGCTTCAGATGCATGGGATGCCCCAGAAATTGATTGACGTGGTGAGTGAGCTTTACCACGGGGCAACCACGAGAGTCCGCACGTCACAAGGCTTTACCGGTCCTATACCAATGGCGGCAGGGGTGAAGCAGGGCGATCCGCTCAGCCCTATTCTCTTCAACCTTGCCATTGAGCCAGTGGTCAGGGCAGTGCATAGTGCTGCTGAGTCGGACGGGTATCGTCTTGGTGGAACAACAGATTGAAACGTTTTCTCAGGAGAGTCTTTTATCCACTAAAGAATTCCTTGACCGAAAAAATCTGCTTATTAACACAGAAAAATCCAATTTTATATCATTTTCCACTAAACAACGTAGACAAAATTTTGAACCAAACATTTGCATAAAATCAGAAAGAATAAACCAAGTAAAGCAAACAAAATTTCTTGGTCTAATTATCGATAAACATCTATCTTGGGAGGGCCATGTGAACTATGTGGTTAAAAAGGTATCTTCCGGTATCCATGCGCTGCGACAGATGTTCAGAGTATGCAGTTTAGACACTTTAAGAGTTGTTTATTTCTCATTAATACATTCACATATTTCATATGGAATTGTTCTATACGGGGCAACAACAAAAACTAATTTAGATAAAGTACTAATTAAGCAGAAAAAAGCTATCAGGGTGATGAAAAATCTTAAAAAGAAAGAGCCAGTCAAGAGCATCTTTCGTGAATTACAAATATTAACAGTTTATAGTCTTTATATTTATGAAACAATAATTTATGCAAAACAGATCCAACTATCATCCAGCTCAACAGAACAATTAGTATATAACACCAGATTAAAAATTAACCTACCTCGGCATAATCTCGAATTTTACACTAAAAAGACATCTTACATAGGGCTAAAATTTCTCCAGTCTATACCAGCTCACATCCGAAAAGAAACAAAATTTAATAAATTCAAGCAGCTCTTAAAGGAATATTTTTTAAGAACTCCCTGCTACTCAGTAACAGAATTCTTTAGTATTAGTAAAAAACAGTTAGGCCTAACTTAATTTGAATTCCAAATACTGTTATCCTTAAAGTCATGGTTTTGTTAAAAGTTCAAGTAAAGTAATTTTAGTACTCTTTTTATGTATTTAATTAGCAGTAAGCAATTTTGAATTTAGCTTATGACTCTATTCAAGTTCATGTAATGTGAAACTATAATGAATAAAGAATGTTTTGACTTCGACTTTGACTTTGATGCCACTTCTCTGTCGTGGCCTACGCGGACGATCTGGCTCTGATTGCGTCGGGCGAGGAGCAGATGCGCAGGCTCCTGAGGACGGCGGAGGATGTCGCTGCCTGGGCTGGCCTAAGGTTTAACCCCAGGAAGTGCGCAAGCCTCGAGGTGGATTGCCGCAACCGCAGGCGAGTCCTGGCGACCGAGTACGAGATCGGTGGTTCTCCTATGGTGTGTCTGAAAGAGGGCGAGGAGTACCGTCAGCTCGGGGTGCCAACTGGATTCAAAGTGGACCAAACACCGGAACATGACATTGCCAGAATGGCCGAAGATGTGAAGAAGATTGACGAGAGTCTTCTGGCACCTTGGCAGAAGTTGGAAGCCGTGAGGATGTTCATACTCCCACGGCTAGACTTCATCATGAGAGGAGCCAGGGTGGCCAAGACCCCACTGAAGAAGCTTGACAATGACGTGAAGAGAATGGTGAAGAAGTGGCTCTACCTTCCACAGCGAGCCAGTGCTGAGGTGGTCTATCTGGGTGTGGCAGAGGGAGGGGCCGGAATGTTCCCTCTGGCAGACCTAGTTGACATATCCTCCGTGGCCCATGCCTTCCGCATGGTCACGTGTACTGACCCTGTGGTGAAAGACCTGGCTAGAGCTACTCTTTCGCATGTCGCCAGGAAACGCCTTGGGCGTCCCGTTTCCCTTGACGAGGTTGCCGACTACTTGTCCGGTAGGTTGGACGGTGACTTTGCCAGGGATGGAGGTGACATCGGTTCTCTGTGGACTGATGCGAGGAATGCCGCCGGTAGGCTCCAAAAGAAAATCGGAGTCTACTGGAAGTTCGACCATGACAGGGAGGAGTTCCAAATTCGAATTCCCTCGCCTGACGGCACTTCCGGTCCAGTCATTGTCCCAGAGGACGCAAGGGGCCATCTTTTTGCAAGATTGAAGACTGCCATGAGGCTCAAGTTGAAGAAGACACTCACTAGGAAGCCTGATCAGGGGAAGGTCTTCGACGTGGCTTGCCGATGCCGTGATTCAAATAATTTCATCCAGGCCGGCAAGTTCAAGCGCCGATTGGCGCTTTATTTTTAAGGCTCGCCTCGGCACCGTCCCTCTGAACGGTTGCAGGCGTTGGGGCGAAGGCGATAGGAGGTGCAGGCGCTGTGGTGAGCAGGCAGAAACTCTGCCTCACGTGCTGAACCACTGCCAGCCGACCAGTGAGGGCTGGAGAAAGCGCCATGATGCAGTACTCCATCGCTTAGCCGAATCAATCCCGGAAAGGACCGGAACCACCAGGGTTGTCACCTTTACTACCCGTAGGTAGTAAAGGTCGTCACGAACGAGCGGGAAAAGCGCATCCACTTGGTGGATGTGGCTATCCCGTTCGAAAACAGGTACGGGGCGCTAGCTGACGCGAGACGACTCAAAATTGAGAAGTACCGTCAGCTAGCTGATGAACTTCGCCTCAAGGGATACTCTGTCACCCTGGATGGGTTCATCGTGGGTTCCTTGGGATCCTGGGACATGGCGAACGAGCGAGTGTTAAAACTGTTGAACATCTCCTCGCGCTGTGCCCAGGCCATTAGACGCCAGATGGTCTCTGATGTGATCATGTGGTCACGAAACATCTACGTGACTCATATCACAGGCCATCGGCAATGGTAGGGAACCCCCATCAGTGGTATCGAACGCATGGCCCTTTGTTGTTATATAAAATTTGTTTGTGATTTGTATTTTGTGATCTTGTTGTGAAGTGTTTTGTGGAAAAAAAAAAAAGAAATAAAAAAGTGGAGTGAAGTTCAAAGTTTCATAATCAATTTTTGTGCATTGTTAAATTTAATAAATTTTTTATCATTTTTATTTAATTTTAAGTGGCTTGCTGCACCTTTCCTAGATATTTATTTGTACTAGTTTTAGTTAGGGAAATTTAATTTCCAACATTGTAAACATTTTTGATAAATCTATTAGTTAAATGTGGAGTGGCGTTCCAAAGTGCAGCAAGCCTGGGCCATGCGTTCAAATTTTATTGTTAGGTTGCCATTAGTTAGGTAGTTTTAAGTTTTTTGAATAGTTAAGAAGTGAAAGTGATTAGCTTGTCAACCAAGGATTTAAGGTGGACTGCATCATCGAACCACATTTGTATTTTGCATGTAAAGTTTAAAAAATGAAGCTCATAATGAGCATGTGGACTTATATTGCATGAAGATACCACCTTTGAATTGCATGGAATGTAAAGGGTTGAATTGTATATTATTTAAATATGTTAATAAAAAGTTGTCAATCTATCAAGCACTCTCACATGTACCGAGCCAGTATTTCCCTGAAGCACTGCCCTCCTACTCTCCCACTAAAGGGTCAAAAGTGCGTGTCCTAACTGGGCACTCCCTGATCCGACTCTTCTATCAGCACATTTCCCCCCAAAAGGATTAGGGTGCTAAACTGGCAGGCTTCTTTACTGTATCTATTTTCCGCTATTTTAATACTACTCTCTCTATCGAGTCCCCTGACTCAATAATCTGCCACCAACTATTCTTTTCTCAGCTTTACTTTCATTTCCCTATCTAATCAACCCCAAGTCAAGGTGGAACGGCATACGCCGAGGACTGCATGGCCAAGGGTAGCTTGGCCACTGGTAAGCGGACTCTGGATAACAGGCGACTTCCAGTTTTAAGCAACCTTCCCCAGGCAAGCGGGGCTCTGCTCGGGGTGACTCTTCATTCCCTTACCACTTTGGTATACAACAATAAAACCAGTAGATTTAGAAGGTATGGAAGTAGAGGAGGGGACAGCAATGACACAGCCACCTCTAATACAAGGCCGCGGCGAGCGAAAAGTGGCAACGTTTCTTCCGTGTCTTGATGCACGGTCGTCTTACCATTACAGTGAATGGAGGAGTCGCGTACCGACGTACATAATCGCGTTTCTACTATCCTTAATCATTAGTAAATGAAATTGAACTTGTTACTACAACATGCCAGATAGATGTGATGTGCCTGGATGCAAGAATAATTATGAAAGCTCAATTAAAAATGAATAACACCTACAGTGTTCTAAGATTCTAAGTGATCCGCCGTGTAAGCAATAATAGCTTCCTGCTATTCTTCGGTCGAATTAGACATCTTAAATGCCGTACTATTTCCTTATTTATTTGTTTATCCTATTGATAAAAGCTGTTGTTGAGTGAATAAAATAATTTATATAGAGGAGAGGGGGGGGGGTAGATGTGGACAGGGGCAGAAGTGGACAGTTTGAATTACCCGCTCTTTGAATGTTGGATTTAGTTGGCAATTTTTCCACAGGTAAGCAGTGGTTCTTCTCAGGAAGTTTGGAGCTCCTGCGCCAACTTTGTGTCAGGTAAGTTTTTTTTGTTTTATTTCTAACAGTAAAAAGTAAAATTTCAATGCTGATTTCAAAAGGACAACTTGTTTTGAGGTTTTGTTATTATCTTACAAAGGTGTTTTAACATGACTCTGCAGTAAATTGGCTACATTTTGATGTATATATTGCATGCTTTAACATAACCTAAAACTAAAATTTGGAGGGAAATATACAAAAATGTCACCTGGGGCACTTATGGACAGCAAAAATGGGGCACATGTGGACGTCCACATGTGCCCCGGAATAACCTTTAAGCATGTTTCACTGATTATTTTGCCTTAAACATAGCCTGAAATATGTACTAGGTTGTCCTTTACTTAAAATAAGTAACTTATGCAAACTAAATTTAAAGTAGTAGGCCTTATTAAAGCAGGCCTAGGCCTAAAATATTAAAACTTATGTTTCGAATGGAATATTATTCATATTTTTTTTAGGCTTCCTACTTAATTTTGAAAATGGGTCACACTACAGTTTCAATCTTTAAACACATTATCTCTAACTTATGCAATATTTTATATTATAGGTCACAATGGTGAGAACCTACACACCCAAAACTGGACGAGCTACAATTTCTGAAGAAACCATCCAACGGGCACTTCATGACATTATTAATGGAAACTGTTCCATTAGAAAGGCAGCTGCTGACCATGGGTTGTCGAAGTCAATGCTTCACAAACGTTTAAAGAAATTGGGCCTGGAAAAAGATGTGGATGCCCCAATTTTAAATCTACCGCCAGCACCAGGTAGCATCAACCAGAAATCGTTTCTTGCAACATCTGACACAGACGAATCGCAAGAATCGATCGATTTTGATAAAGATGGGGGAATAAGCCTACTTATTTTGACTGAGAAAAGCAAAAGCGAAGAGGAATGTGAAGAAGTGAAGAGAGATGGAGCAACATCAAAGATAATGATTTTGTTTTTTGGCTTTAAAAAAAAACTGTTTGACATTGACATTTCGTTGCCCAAATAAGTGAAAAACATAGTTTTACTGAATTCACAGTCAATTTCTTAAGAAAAAAAGATTTGTTTGGACCTCCTAAATTTGTAATGCCTGATGTATCGGATGAGAGTGTTTTGGACGTCACTGACGTAGTTATTAAACTTGGTCAGCCTAAAGTTGTAGGAGGGACTGAAAGAGCAGTCAGCATTTTCACCTTTAAGTTAAATTTTGATAACTTTCAAATGGGATAGGCCAATTCCTTGAAAATGTTTCACTAAAGATAGTCTACAAGAGCGGCTGAAAGAGTTTAAGAATAATTGTTATCATTGTAATTATCAAAAGTCTTATATCAGAAGCGGTTGATAAGATTGTAAGCTAATATCATGTTTTAGTGAAATTTTACTATTAAAAAGGCTTAAAAACTGGGGATGGACTTGTTAAAAACATTGTTAAATTTGTTTTAAAGACTAATAGATGTGCAAATAAACATAATTAAAAATAATTTAGGTGTTTTGAGTACATTTTCCTAGTGTCCACATGTGCCCCATGTAATTTTTTCTTTGTCCACTTGTACCCCACAATGGGGCAGAAGTGGACAGGTTGCAGATGTTAAGTAAACAAAATATTTTAAGCCCCATAAATGCTTTTTCACCACACTCTGATGTTTTTGGCTGTATTACATACGTTAATTGGTGGCTGAAAGTTACGTTTTGCTGGCCATGCCAGCTGTCATCGTAATTTGGGGACCGAGCAGGTTTTTACAGGCCGGGGCCGCAAAATCGGCTGTCCGCTTACTTACTTAAAACATGAATGCATTTTAAATACACAATCAAAATCCATAGCATTGCAATATAATTGTGTAATTGTCACCGTTGCCTAGCTACTATTTATTTTTATTTTTGCTGATTCCTCAAATTATTTCTTCACATAACCTTAAAGTTGTAGTTGTGTTGACAGTGTGCATTATTATAGTGGTGAAAAGTGGTAATAGGGTATAGTGTGGTGAAAAATAGCGTTCGTACTACGGACCGAAATGGTTTTGCAGCTCTCGATCGATTTAAGTTCTCGACTTCGTCTCGAACTTAAAAACTATCTCGAGCCGGCAAAACCTCATTTTCGGCCCTTGGTACGAAATATACTATAATGACTTGAAAATCAGGTATTTCAGTTGGCAATGAGCTAAGCTATCTAAATAATTTAATATACTTAACTAAGAAAAAACTCAAGGAAAAAAATACAAAAAATAAAATCTTGAAATTGTCCATAAGTGCCCCCCTCTCCCCTAACTAGCACTTCGAAGAAATAAACCGGTGTTTCTGTTAAGTAGGCCTTCTAGTAAAAAATATGTACTACACCATCTAACAATAAAACCATCATAGTATCTGGCTCCAGTCTGAATGTTGATGTGATAACAAAATTCTATTAATATTGTGGAAAGCCTATTATGGAGACCTAGCTTCTGAAATCGTTTACTAAATAAAAAACGTTTTGCTTAGTAATTATTCAAAGACAATAAATTATTCAGTCAGTATGCCTTCAAAATGAAAATTTCAAATTTTGTTGTCGCTAACTAATGGTTTCCTCAGGTAGACAAAAACATAATATTTCTATTGAAAATTGAAAATTAATTTTATTTGAACAAATTGTTAGATGTTAGTCTCTACAAATCCCAAAGTCTCTATAAATATTGAAGTGGCAATAACTTAGTCCTACTGTATTACCATCTTGGTATAGTAGCTATATTTTGTAAAATTTAAGCCCAGTCTGTCTA